ACACACACACACACACACACACACACACACACACACACACACACACACACACACACACACACATTGTAATGAATGCCTCCTTTTTGAAAGTCTCTCATACGTACATTGTTTCTCGATTTTTTCTGTTTATCTCCACATTTTTCCTTTTTCTGTAAATGATTTTACTGGCAAATTACAAATATTATATTAAAATGATGATTATAAATAAATACATGTATATGAATAGATCTGTGGATTTCTGACAATGAAAAAAAGTTTTAACTGAGTTATTTCCTTTTGATTTTATATTGGGTATTCTGTGTAAACTGTGACGAACGACAATTCTTTATTTCAGAGAAATTTTCTGTCATAAGGGAGGGACACTATGCTGAGTGAAGAACTGAAGAGTTCTCTTTAACTCAGCTAGGTGTAAATCTTTCCTATCACAAGATCAGGGGTGTGGCAGAAAGACAGCAGTAAGAAGGAGCCAGGGAGTAGTAGTAGAAAGGCTGCAGACAAGAGTCAGGAGCCTAGAGGAGGGGGCAAAGGAGGTGAGGGGTGGGGGCAAAAAGTGAAGGCGAAAGCAGACGACCGAACATTGCTAGAGAGCAGGAAAGGGGGTGAAAGGAGAGAATTTTTCAGAAGAAATCGGACCCAAACCCGGGACCTATTGAATGAGAGGCAAACACTTTAACCTCTTGACCATGAGAACCACCACTTTAACTCTTTATAGAAGTAGCGGACATAATATATCTGACCATCAGAACAGACGCGATACCGCGCCACATCTCGACCCATCATACACAAAAGGACACAAAACACAAAACAGACAGAAACGTGAAATTGTATAAGGGGGAGAGTTTAGAATCAAGTGAAATTTCCACTTATTATTCTCGTATCGTCTAATTTGTTCTCATGACATACTGTTTTTTCATGACTATCAAAAAATGGACTCGTGTCGATGTGAAGCGGTAAGCCGAGAACAAGATCTGTTCCTCAGAACTGAGAGGTGCTTGAAATGAAAGAGAGAGAAAGGAATCGAGTTGTTTCCCCCCTCCAGTCTTCATTAGCTGGTGCCTTTACAAATAAAATCAATAAAGGATTTTCCCGTTTTCAACCTTTTTTTTAGCTCGACATCCCAAAGGGAGTGCAAGTTTTTCACCTTCAAGATATCCTGCATTGTGTTAAGTAGGGCTTAAACTTTAACGATAAAAACCAACAAAGAACGAAGTGAGGCACCGCGAGAAGAAAAGGTGTATGATTATGTTTACATTAAATACATTTGCGTGGGTATTGATTGAGCATGCAGCAAGCTTAACATACTCATGATTTGGCGTTGCGAAGCGAGGCAAGCACAAAACAGCTCTGTCAATGAACGCATAAAACATAAAAGGATTTTTGTAAAACTCTCCTTCCGCCTGAAGAGCACAGGTAGGTTACTACACATTGTCATGTCCTTTATTCTGTGTGGTGCAGTTTTATCCTGACATGTGTAGATTTCTATCACCAGCGTCTGTGGTGTGGTGATTTAGCACATTGCAGCTGTCGTACGCAGGGGACTCAAGTTCGATTCCCAAGGGGGGAGAGTTTTTTTTATCGTTCTTCCTGCTGGGATATTCGCCCTTTCACTCTCAGCCTAGATCTATAATCTAGAATCTAATATAGATCTAGATTCTAGATCTAGATTCTATATCTAGATGTATATCTAGATCTAGATATCTAGATCTACAACAATCTAGTAGATCTAGATCTAGACAGTAACAGGCAGGATTGAAGCCCACTTTCTAAAAAATCTAGATTCTAGATCTATAGTAAATTGTGTCAATGGTCGCGTAAAAACACCTTATTAAAAAAACAGCAGGAGTTAATAGGGTTATGCCACACAAAGCACGCATGATACATATGATATGTACTTCCATTTGAAAAAGTGGGGACCGGGGGGGGGGGGGGATAAAAAGAAGATAGAGTAACTGCTCTCCAGTTCTATGACCACACACGCACCCGTTGAAGCCAAGAGATAAAGATTGGGGAGGCGGGAGGTCGTGGCGATTTCAATACTTGCCATAGAGGCGTTATTTTGTGTTAGTATACCCTCGCTCTCATTAGCAAAGGTGAAAAGATCTTACAAGTCCAACAGTTTAAATATCTAAGATATATGATAACATCGGATGCCAAATATTCCACACATAAAAAATGTAGAATTACAATGGCTAAGGCTAGTTTCAATAAAAATGAGCCCAATCCTACAGAACAGAAACATCTCAATGACTACCAAAATGAAAGTTCTGAAATGCTATGTATGGTCAACCCTTCTATATGGCTGTGAATGCTGGACAATCACTGAAGACATGAAACTAAAATTTTCTGTTGTTTCTCGGGAGACTGCTAAGAGTATCGTGGAAGGAAAAGAAATCAAATGAGGTAGTGCTTGACGAAGCCCACATGGGACGCTCTCTTTTAAAAACAATCAGGAAACGACAAATTCAGTTTTGAAGACACCTGAATAGACATATGGGTCTTGAGCATCTAGCTCTCACTGGCAAAATTGAAGGCAAACGAAGAAGGGGTAGGCCCAGAGCAACCTACTTAAGGAACCTATACAAATGAGTAACAGGGAAAGACCAGGGAAACGTAGCTTTCTTAAGAGCATCTGAGCAGAGGAATGAAAGGATAACCATGATCGCCGATGTCTGTTGCAGATCTGGCACTGGATAATAATAATGATACCCCCACACTGTTCCCTTGGTTCCATCCATCCATCCATCCATCCATCCATCCATCCGTCCATCCATCCATCCATCCATCCATCCATCCATCCATCCATCCATCCATCCATCCATCCATTCATCCATCGATTTCTCGCCCTCTGTCTATATATAGATCTATCCATTCGTCTGTCTACACCAGTGTCTGTGGTGTAGATCTAGTGTTTAGGACGTGTTTCGCCGTTGCACACAGGAGACCTAAATTCGATTCCCATGTGGTCAGAAGTTTTATCCAGTATCTCGATCTTTCTGTCGAGACGTTGTATCCGTACCAGCTAGGGTAGGCTCTGACAGGCAGGATCGAAGCCCACTCCTGAATGATCTAAACTGTGTCCATAGGTGCATAAAAACAACTGCATTTTTTAAAAAAAGAATAATTTCCGCCAGACTCGGCACCGAGCTCCCCAGTACAGTGAGACCACTCGCACACACGCACGCACACACACACACACACACACACACACACACACGCGCGCGCGCGCGCGCACAGTGATAGATGGGCAAAGGTGACCCGCACCAGTTTGCCACTCAAGTCTTGGCGACATCTATTTATCTATCTATCCATCATCCACCCAGCCATCCAGCCATCCAGCCATCCATCCATCTATACTTCCATCCATCCTTCCTTTCTTCCTTCCTTCGTCCTTTCCTTCCATATATCTATCTACCAATCAATCTATCTGTATCGTATCCATCGATTCGTCTATCCATCTATTCACCCATTCATGAATCCATATATCTTTCCCCTCATCTTGCCATCCATCTGTCTATCTCCGCCAGCCCTCGCCGCCAGACCCCTCACCGAGCTCCCCAGCACCACTACACCACACACTGTGAGAGATGGGCAAAGGTGACCCGCACCAGCTTGTCACTCAAGTTTTGGCGACATATATTTATCTATCTACCCATCATCCATCCAGCCATCCATCCAGCCATCCATCCATCCATCCATCCATACTCCCATCCTTCCTTCCTTCTTTCCTTTCTTCCTTCCTTCATCCTTTCCTTCCATCTACCTATCCACCAATCGATCTGTCAATATTGTATCCGTCTGTCCATCTATCCATCCGTTCATTGATCCATCTATCTTTCCCTTCATCTTGGCATCCATCCATCCATCTATCTATTTCTGTCAGCCCTGTCCGCCAGACCCCTCACCGAGCTCCCCAGCACCACTACACAACACACACGCACAGTGAGAGATGGGCAAAGGCGGCCCTGTACCAGCTTACTACCCAAGTCTTGGCGACATCCTACAGCCTGATGCGGCTATGTGGAATGTGGAAGAGGTAGTTTGTTTTTGTTTTAGTAGAGATTTTACGGCGCTCGCAACTGCATAAGGTCATACGAGCGCCAAGAGGTGGATGTCAACAAAGAAGTCCTTACAGGGAATCAGACTTACTCTGCTCACCTCTTTGACTTCAAGTCTGCTTCGACTATCAAGGCACCCCGGAAATAGCGAGTCACTAGAGTGTGACAAACATACAAAAGAAGTAGAGGAGAATGACGAGAGTAAGGATAAGAAAAGAAAAGGCAGCAGTTCCCTTTTGCAGTTCAGGCACAGTTATGAGCATAACATTGTTGGATCAGCCTATTTACAATTCTACTGTGCATTAGAACGAGAAATATCCCCCCTTTGGGAATGGCCTAACGACACTTCAGTCAGTGGCACTGTCCCGGGGGAAAGAGGTAGTTTACGGAATCGTTGACGTGTGTGTGTGTGTGTGTGTGTGTGTGTGTGTGTGTGTGTGTGTGTGTGTGTATGTGTGAGTGTGCGTGAGAGAGTGTGTGTGAGTGGGTGTAAGTGTATGTGTGTGTGAGCTTGTGTGAGTGTGTGCGTGTGAGTGTATGTGTGTGTGTGTGTGTGTGAGAGAGAGAGAGAGAGAGAGAGAGAGAGAGAGAGAGAGGGGGAGAGAGACAGACAGACAGACAGACAGACAGACAGACAGACAGACAGACAGACAGACAGACAGAGTGAGTGTATGTTTGTGTGTGTGTGTGTGTGTGTGTGTGTGTGTCTGTGTCTGTGTGTGTGTGTGTGTGTGTGTGTCTGTGTGTGTGTGTGTGTCTGTGTGTGTGTGTGCTAGTATAATATGAATTGGTTAGTGTAAGGTTTTGAGTTACCGGCGTCTGAAGGTAGAGCAGCGATTAAGCGCTCTGTCGTAGCACGCAAACGACTAGAGTTCGATTCCCTTGCGTGCATAATTTCTTATCCAGTATTTCAGTCTTTTTGTTGGGACGCTGTGCCCCTCACAGCTCAGGTTGGCGGAGGGGTCAAATGCCGTCTCCCACTGCTTAATGCTTACTGATCCCATAATCCACAAGGATCGTAGGGGCGCAGTGTGATTGAGAGCCTCGTCAGATGATGTCTCCACTTTTCCCCGGGGGGTTTTTAGCGCGCCTGAGTTTGGCCGAAGGATTTCCCTGTCCATTCCCCAATGTTGTCGGTCCACCTCTTTCTTTGCCTTCATATCTTTCTCCTTTCCTGCACAGTTCCCTGAAGAATGGTCTTGGATAGGCCACACGTTCTTGTTACATGGCCATACCAATTCATTTTTTCTTTGCTTCACAGTAGAGAGCAAGTCTAAATAGTGACCCACGTGTTGTTTCACTCAATTGCGAATTTCCTCATTTGTGACGTTGTCAGCGGGCGGTTGGCGGGTGCTCTGGTGTGGTTTGCTCCTTCTTTCCTATCAAACATGTTTCGACCTTATCTCTCCTTTTTTGTGTGTTTGTTACTCTCTTAGAACACTTCTAATCTTCGACACTTATATGACCTTATTGTATTGCAAGTGCTACTCTTACTAAAACTAAACGTGACGTGGTCATTGTATGAGATGGCAAAGTAGTCTCTTAGAAAAACTAAATCGTGTCGGTGGACGCGTAAAGCACATAATTTAATTTTTAAGATGGTTTATGCCAAGCCTTCATTATCAAAATAGAGTTGGTCTGGGAAACAAGTGCATCCCTACATTTCACAAATCTCAGATTGAAGGCATAGTCATGTTTTGTGTGGCATGATGGTGGATTCAGGCGCTTGTCAAAGTAATTGAGAAAATACTGACATTTCCCCGACCGTTGGGGAATTTCTATCGATTTTTTAAAATCTCTTTTTATTTGGAGGGGGGAGTGGGGGGGCTTAAAACCGATTATTCAGCCTCAATTTAAAAATACATTTAACATTTTCTATGTGAATTTAATGAAAAACTTTAACAATAGGCACAAAAAATGTAATTTTGCTATTTCCAGAGCACTCAAGCTTAGGAAGTCTCAAAACACTGACTTTCACCTCAGACACCAAGCGACCCCCGACCTCTTTCAAAGACAAATACATGTATAATATTAGCTTCTATTCAACACCGTTGTGATTTGGTTTCCCTCCCCCCCCCCCCCCCCCCCTTCCAGGCGCCCACCTTGGACTACATGTTTGACCAAAGCTACAGACACCACTGCTGGTCCAGCACAGACCACGAGGAGCCCTCCAACGTTTGCAGGGACGATGACCTCACCAAAGAGTCGCAGGAGGAGGAAGAGGTTGCTGACCTCCGCAGTTGTTCCTTCCCGGGCATGGCCGCAGATCTGAACAATTCGGCGGCGGATAGCAGCAAGGTTTGCTGAATTATAATTGACCAATCGCGTTGTAATTTATTTATTTTTTTGTGGTAGAGGTTTTACGGCGCTCGCAACCGTATACGGTCATATGAGCGCTAGTCGTAATTTACGCACCGCTCCCCCCTCTAAAAACGGATAACAAATTAAAAATAAGTGCATGTATGTGTTTATTAATTAATTATCAATTGATCAGTTAAAATTGACACATCTAATATCAGTTTTTTAGGCTACCGGACTCAAAATCGAGAGGTTGCAGGGTCGGGGGTTCGAGCCGCGGGCCCGACGTTGTGTAAGAAGTTTCTATTTTTCAAAATTGGGCTCATTTTATTAAACTATCCTTAGCCTATAAATGGCCACTTGCACTGTATGCTTCCCATGAAGTTGGGGTTGTTTCAGAATGCTCTCAGGTCTGTTGGGGTAACAGTATAGATTGTGAAGCGCATAGAGCTTGCTGTTGAGCGCGGATTCGCGCTATACACATACTATCTAGTAGTAGTAGTAGTAGTAGTAGTAGTAGTAGTAGTAGTAGTAGTAGTAGTAGTGTCATTATTATTATGCATCGACCTTGGTTTTCCAGGGTCTACTCGTGCTGTCTTAGATACAATCAATAAAAAGAAAGAGATTTCCGATCAATTTAATACTGTCACCGCCATGAAATGAGTCTCATGTCTTTGCGTTTGACTGGGAACGATATTCATGTCGTCTGCACCAAAGAAGTAAAGTTGAAGCATAACAGGAAGAAAGAAGAGGAGAAAAAATGGGAGGGAATTATATTATAGACTTTTCTATAACGAGGAGAAGGAGGGGCAGGAGCAAGAAGACGACAGCGGTGACAACTATAGTGCGGTCAAAAATTCGTGGCGCAACTTTTCCTCAAATATCTCTTTAACAGGTGAATCAATGTCATCCATACTTTGAACAGCAGTTTGTATCAATTTGTATTAACTGAATCATATTTTGCTCAACATCTGAGGCTAGATTTAAAAACTTTTCTTCATAAATTTATATAAAACACTATAAATCTCCACCACGCAGAAAAAAGGAATATTCACAGCACTTCTCACTTCTCACACACATTGTGCCCACGCAAAAAGGAATATTCACAGCACTTCCCGCTTCCCGCTTCTCACACACATTTTGCCCACGCATATGGCTTACGTCACAGCTCATCAGTGACACATTTTAGTGGCCAAACTAGTTACAAGAAATGTATTTTATGGTTTACAGTTTTTGGCACTAAAGGTTCTCAAAACATGCGTTCAATAAGAATGATGTCGTGATTAGAAAAACTTGACAGACATGCTCTTAAAAGTGATATTGCCCCAGCTGTAAAACTTTTTAAATCTGTAGAAACCACCCACTTGGATTTTTTACTAGTGTTCATTAGGAATTTTCTAGAATTTTGCTAACAGGTGTTTACAAAAATATTGATCTCTTAAGACAAATTGATACAAGTCACTGTGCAAAAGCTGGAGAGTCTATGTTCGATAGTTTTTTTATAAATATTTGACAATAACTAGGGCCTCGAATTTTTGACCGCACTATAGATGGAGGTGCACAGAGAGGGAGAGAGAGAGAGAGAGAGAGAGAGAGAGAGAGAGAGAGAGAGAGAGAGGGAGAGGGAGAGAGAGAGGGGGGGGATAATGAAGGGGACGATTATGAATTTGTCTTACTTTGTATATTACTGCTATCCCGTCCCAGATATCCTTGTCATCTCTGACGCCTTGCTCCCTCGCTAGTAACTACCTCACCAACGGGGAGCAGAGAGGAGAGAAAATGGACGTTGAAACATCACATGAGGAGAGGATGGAAGCACCACGGTGAGAGAAGAGTACATAGGCCGTGTGCCCGTTCTTTGGGCGAGGAGGGAAAGGGGGGGGGGGTCACCTTGATATAGAATGTGTTAGCTTCGTAATCAGGGCGTAGTATGTTCAATCCTATCGAGAATCTCAGGGTTCCTTTGACTTCTAGGGATTTGTCATGACTATGAAATTGATCCTATCCTGTCGGAGACTACTATGACACCACATCATTAAAAATTCAAAGCGCTTTCTTCGTGTTTGTAATGCCGTAAATTGTGTATGCCACGAAAGTGACAATACTTAAATATCTCTCTCTGTCTCTCTCTCTCTCTCTCTCTCTCTCTCTCTCTCTCTCTCTCTCTCTCTCTCCCTTTTTCCTCAATTTTTGAGTCCCACTGACTGTCAATGCGCCATGGATACTTCATGATGACCATTGTTTTCACTCAACATACAGAGTGTTTCAGAACCATAAACAGCTTAAACTACAACACTCTATGCTACTATTCGCCGCTATGCTTCATCATTATGTGGTCAATTTATGTTATCCACTGTGTCATGTTTTGTTTTAGTAGAGGTTTTACGGCGCTTGCAACTGATCCATGTATCTGCAGCAAAATAACATAATACTGCATAAAGAAAAATAGTATCAAACTTTTTTTGGTTATTGTTTTTACAGCCCTTTCAACTTCATAAGGTCATATGAGCGCGTGGGACCCATGAAACATTTTCATTTTGTAGGAAATTTTGAATTTTGTTCGGGTGGCGGCCGAAGACTACTCTTATCGATTTTTGGACCACCAAAGGACCTTTCACGTGCGCAACTTGCACACAGGACCTCTCAGATTTTTCGCCTTTGTCCGAGAAGGCTAGGTGTAAATCTTTCCTACTGTAAGATCAGGGGTGTGGCTGAAAGACAGCAGCAAGGAGAAGCCAATGAGTAGCAGTAGAAAGGCTGCAGAAAGAGTCATGAGCCCAGAGGAGGGGGCAAAGGAGGTGAGGGGGTTGGGGTAGAAAGTGGAGGCGAAAGCAGACAGCAGAATATCGCTAAAGAGCAGGAAAGGAGGTGAAAGGAGACAAATTTTCCATTGCTACCCGGATTCGAACCCTGGACCTTTGAATGAGAGGCGAACACCTAAACCTTTGGGTCACGAGACCCCCTCCCTCTCATCTTTATGTAAAAATCCCGTCAATTTATGTTATCCATGTATCTGCGGCAAAATGACTTGATGCTACGTAAGAAAAATAGTATCTAAACTCTAGAAGGACTTCGCTTTGCTCTAGGTAGCAAGAAAAAAAGGTTTGGTTCCTCGTGTATGACGTAGTACCTGTGCAACAAACCTTCGCCAAATGTTACAACGGGGAAAGAATTAATACCCCTTGATGCGCCAGTGGTTTAGTGGAGACCACGCATGCCATTCAGAAGACAACTATACGTCTACTGTGCAACCAGTCAGAAAAGAACTCAAGGGAAATCGGGAGAGCAAAGTAATAATTAGCGTACGGAACTGAAAGCAGTGTGGGATGATACACCTTAAGAACAGGCTGTAGCATCAGCATCAAATGAACCTGATTTTCATTCATTTTTAAAAGCAAGAATGCCCCAGATAGATATGGACTGAACGATCCTAATTCTCAGACACTTAAGAGCTGCCAAAATGTGAGGCTGAATTGTTGGACTCAAGGCTCCAGCTATGGAACTTCATTGTTGGTAGTGTAAGGGTGAGCACACCCAGAAATCGTGACGCGGATTTTTGGCTATTGTTCATAATCGAAGTACAACTTGGTTGCATATAACGATGTGGACGGTCTTATGAATATGGAGCTGTGAATGACAAACACGGGGAACATTTTCCTCAAGACATTTCAGCTATCGTTTCTGCAAGCGACTGAAGTTTTGGCCTTTGTTTTAGTAGAGGTTTTATGGCGCTCGCAACTGCATAAGGTCCTATGAGCGCCAGATAATTAGAGGTGTTACAAGAGGGTAACAACAAACATAAAAAAAAAGAAGAAGGGGAGATAAGGACGATATATGATTGATAGGAAAGAAGGAGCAAACCACAACAGAGCACCCGCCAACCACCCACTGTTTTGGCCTACCCAAGAGGAGGCTCCAGCGTTGTCGTGAAGTTTTCTGTCTGGAGGAGTTGGCAGCAAGTGTTGTTGGTTAGTTACAAGAAAAATACCAGAACAAGGGGTACACCTAAGCCAAGAAACGTCAAGCAACTAAATAAAGTGACCGCCAGTTCGGAGTCCTATCTATCGATTATTTGTAAAATATGAAATCGTTATTATTTTAAAAACTAGACATACGAGTCGAATTTCAGTAGCATTTTCGTGTTCAGGGCCCTTAAATCTCTATGAATGTGATGTTTGAGCCCCGAAGCAGGAACTTTTGGAAAAAGTTGTAGACCAGTGCAATCAAATTCAGGAGCAGATTGTCACTTTCGTATTACTCGTGATCGTGATAATCGCATTAACCCCACCTCCCACTGTTTCATTCCAGTGTGGCCTCAATTTCAAGTGAAGACAAACAACCTCACCCCTGCACCTCATGTGTCGGCGCACGTGAAAGGTAGCACTCACGATAAATTTACGGCAAAGGCTGCCTGTCAACGGGAGAGGAACAAATGAATATTTCTTCGGAAGTCCTTAACTTCTACCTGAAAACTACAACATACTGGGACAAGAGGCACACATTCAAGTCAACTTGCTACAAAGAAACAAAAACAAATAGAGAAATGAATCGCATGTATTGGAAAGAAGTCGGGTGATTTGTTCGAGAGCAAAGGTCTATGCCACGCATTTTGGGACAAGAGGCACACGTTTATGTCATTTGCTACAAAGATGGTTTCTAAGAGAGGAAATGCCTATTCTATGCACAGTCTCAAATTGACAAATGAATTATGCTTCAGAGTCATTTAAAACGACTGAGACGTTTGCTTGAGGAGTGGCCACCGGGAAGAATTTCGTTAACTCACGATGACGTTCATTTTGTCTTCTAATTAATTTGAAAACGTGCTTCGCCTGATTTGATCCTGGGGTGGTGGGTCGAGCTTGGTCGAATAAATCAATATTGCTCATGTTTGTATATGTTCATCAACGAATGGCGAGTGTTGTCTACAAGTGCTGATATTGAATTAAATGTCATCAACTCTCTACTTTTGTTTTATGAAGTTGAATTTGTCTTTGTCCCCTCGTGATTTGTGGGTGAATGTCAGAAGAGCGCAGGAGGGAGAGAGAGAGAGAGAGAGAGAGAGAGAGAGAGAGAGAGAGA